CCCCAAAACCCCAAAACCCCAAAACCCCAAAACCCCTCAAAATTTATAAAATATTGAAAATATGGAATCTAAAAGAGTCAACAAGGTCTACAAAAGAGCTGCCAAAAATACAGTCATAATCGATAGAAGAGTCGGCAAGAAAGGTACTGAGTGTCCAGTTGACCAAGATGTCCTCGACTTCAACGATTTCCAACAAGAGATGAACACTGGAAAGAAAAACGGCATCAGAGCTAAGTAAGTTCTTCTTAATATCTTCTAGCCTGGGTGAAAAACCTGAAGCTCTTAATGGAGATAGTAAGGATTTTGCAATATTCTGTAGACACCAGCTCAAAATGGACAAAATATGGTTTAATGTTATTCATTTTCTCAGTAATTATGTACTATCTCCTCATCGATAAAGTAAGTTATCCTCATTCTTAATGTAAAATATTTCCAAAATGTATCCAATGAGTTTTACTTTCTCCAGTTAAGAACCAAAAAGTACCCTGATTTTTATTAAAAAATTAATAGTTCCAACTGAACTAGTTAAAATAAGTAAAGCTTAATTTTCGGAACATAAAGATTAGAGTAATCTGAGAGTTTGCAATTTTGTTAGATTAATCTGCAATTTCTAAACCAAAGTAGTTTTGAGAATAACCAAAGAGCTTAGTTTACATTCACTAACCTCTAGATATGACTTTGCTGATATTCATGATCTCATCTAAATCCTTTAAACACCTATTATTACACCATTGTCACATTTTCATTAAAGATGCTTCAAAGTAGCTTTTTAAACTTGAAAATTGATTAACCAAAATCAGGCATGCTCCTTAATATTTTTTCTGCATATCTTCATTTTTATTGAGAAATTATTTGGTAACTATGCTGTTACACTGATATATATATTCAAATATCTTAAAAGAAAATAAGAACAATGACTTTTGTTTTCTTCAGAATTACGACTATAAACTTTCTTTTGACTAAGCTGTAACTCATTCTAATATGCCATGCGAAAGCCGATCTCATATGTTTCTTATTTACACTTATTTTTATTCTTTCATTTAAGAAGTTGGCCCATTTAAAATTAAAAGTTGATGATAAAAGCTCTAAATATAACAAGTACCAACATCTTTCCTTTTGAAAGGAGTAAAAGAGCATAATTTAAAACAATCAGAAGAACTTCTTCCAAATTCTTCTTCATAATCGGCTTAATTTATCTGAAAAGGAAGGGTTTGAGTTTTAAATTCTTGATCAAAACATGAGAAACAGTTATGACCGTAAATATCTAAAATATTTAACTATACAACAACAAGATTCAACCTTAATGATTACCTATAGATTGTCAGTCTGCTGCAACATTTCTAAGAACATAAGCACACACAATTTTAATCAAGGATTCAATAATTCTTAGTTAAGATGGGGTTTTGGGGTTTTGGGGTTTTGGGGTTTTGGGG